GCTGTCATCATTATTTGAAATCTCTTCTTTGCAGTCATCATTATTTGAAATTTCTTCTTTGCTGTCATCATTAGTTGAAATTTCTTCTTTGCTGTCATCATTAGTTGACATTTCTTCTTTGCTGTCATCATTATTTGACATTTTTTCTTTGCTGTCATCATTATTTGAAATTTCTTCTCAGCTGTCATCATAAGTTGAAATTTCTTCTCAGCTGTCATCATTAGTAGAAATCTCTTCTTTGCTGTCATCATTAGTCGAAATTTCTTCTTCGCTGTCATCATTAGTTGAAATTTCTTTTTAGCTGTTATCATTGGTTGAAATCTCTTCTTTGCTGTCATCATAAGTTGAAATTTCTTTTTAGCTGTCATCATTAGTTGACATTTCGTCTTTGCTGTCATCATTAGTTGAAATTTCTTCTTAGCTGTCATCATTGGTTGAAATTTCTTTTTAGCTGTTATCATTGGTTGAAATCTCTTCTTTGCTGTCATCATAAGTTGAAATTTCTTTTTAGCTGTCATCATTAGTTGACATTTCGTCTTTGCTGTCATCATTAGTTGAAATTTCTTCTTAGCTGTCATCATTGGTTGAAATGTCTACTTTGGTGTTATCACTTGTTGAAATCTCTTCTTTTCTGTTATCATTGGGTGAAATTTCTTCTTTGATGTCTTCACTTGCTGAAATCTCTTCTTTGCTGTCATCTTTGATTTCATTCTCAGTATATGGCTAACCATTCTAGACTTTTTTTTCTCAATGAAATTAATTGTCGGTGTTGTTCCAATTGTTCTCGCAATTTATTTGTCCCTTACATGATCTCATCTAGATTTTCACAAACATCTAATCTCGCAGGTAGCCAGTTATCTTTGTGTTTTTTAGTCCAAGACTTAAAGCTTGAATAATTATACTCATGTACCATTGACCTCATATATCGTGCTCACCGTCTGTGTCAGGGTCTCTTATTGTATAGTATCGCGCTAAACAAGCGTGTCGTAAAAGGCTACTAGTTAGAAATTTGCTGAAATCGGACGTGTTGAGCCGAAATGGGCAGACATCGCAGCCATATGTCATCATGAATTGTATTTTCTTACTTTTACATTTCGCCGAGATTTACTGAAGAAATCTGGCTAACCCAGTGGCGATGTCCTCTGAAAAGTAAAGCACTCCAGACTTGCCATTTGTCTTCCACGAAACGTCAAAGCATTGAAAGATTTAAGACTTCCTTTTGATTTCTCGATTCTGAGGTACGTGCTGTCTTCAATGATTCACGAAATTCAACAGACGACCATCTACTGAACCAGTCAGTTAATGTAATCTTACACACTCTAATCGTTACCTTACAGAATGGAAAAAATAACTTTTTACGCAGATATTTCTTTATGTAGTTAGGGATCTGAAAGTGAGTCATTGACTATCTCTCAGTCATTAGGAAGGGAACATGGGCTTTTGAGATGAAATGCTATAGAAAGATTATCAGAATATCTAGGACAAAGAAAAGGAGAAATAATGACATCTTGAAAGATCTGATCATCGAGGAAGATTGGATAATAAACAGCATCCTGTCTCGGAAGATGAAATATTTTGGTCATATCAAGCGCCGCAACAGATTGAAAAAAAAATTATAGCAGAAGGCATGGTACCAGGAAGGAGGCGCCGGGGTCGACCATCACGAAGATGGACACATGATATAAGTGACTCCTTGAGTATGAAAGTACATGAGGCGGGAGAGCTGGCGGGAGACTGAGTTTCTTTCATGCAGACCGTGATGAGAGCGACGTTTTGCAAAGGACCTGCTACATTCTGATGAATGATCTGACTGTAGTGCATACGATCCTGATTTTACACAACCTCCAGAGCATTCTACTGGGTTGCAGCACCAGTAGTGATCCATGCGGTAATTGTTTCAGACTTCATGAACATGCTTCAGAGAATCTCTACAGGTAGTCTAGGCCAGAATGGGTAGATAAAACATTCGAAAGTCGCAATTAACCTCCATCATCTGAATATACACATCTGGACACGCAGGTGTAAATGGTAAGAAATGCACCAATACAGAGCTGATATCATCAATGCGGTGAATAATGGCGAATCTCTGAGGCTAACACGACTTCGTGACCCAGAAGTTAAGTTTGTAAAGCATGTCTATGTCGCCTTCGAGGTAAAGACTAAAGATCCTATAACCAACTTCTCATGAAAACCAAAGGTAAATATACCTTGTAGTGGCTGCTGCATCGCAGGACTGAGCACGCATGCCGATGCCCAATGTACAAATAGATCGATTTTAGTAACATAACATGTGGTCTAGATGTACGGCGTCCGCCTCAAGTGCTGGGGGGTCTCGGGCTGAAGCCCCAGTAGAGGCTTGGATTTTTCATTTGGGTTACTAGTAATTTCCACTGGTCTCTGGGTAGTAAGATAGGACGCCCGTGTGTAAAGATAAAAAAATAATTTCTTGGAAGTTGGAAATCAAAAAGATCAGTCTAACGGTCCAGCCCGAGCAAAATTTGGAGTTAAAAATCTACCCAAAGTATTGCAGGATACTGGACGGTGCTACGAAGTTCGTGCTTGAGTCAGAAGTGTAACGGAGCACTTATGGGTTACTACCCTTGTGCTATAATGTTAACCCGTCGTCTAAAAGCTAAACCTAAAACACCACCACAAGTGATGACATACTGTTATCGTTTTCTTTGACTAGTTAGTTTATTGATAACCTTCCTCTTATCATTGGCATTCACCTTATGAAAATTCCGGTGTACAGTTCTGATAGGTCGACAACTCCTAGATTGTGGTTTTGTTCCAGAACTTTAGTGTTGCGTGCACATCCGTTTTCCAGATCTGGTCTATTTGTAAGCAGACCTTTGATTCCTTGCTTCTTAGGCAGATACACTCTGATTTCATTTCGAAGGAAACGCCTAAATAGTTGACTTTTACGACATTCTGTGTATGGGGCAGGAAGTAGGTCTATTTTGGTCTCCCAAAATAGGATTCCAGAACTCGCAGGGAAAGTTTAACTGATAATGTAATATTAAAATCGGCGTCTGTATCTGTTGGGTTGAAAATGCGAGTTGTAATTCTGATTTAAGCATCATCATAATCATCAAGCACCTTGTCAGCTGTCGTAGGCGTTCAAGCATCTCGACAGATCTCCGTCTTTGGACTTCTGGATAAATTCCACTGATGATATTTCTCCATGCCACTGTTTTATGCCATTCCCCGTCATTTCTCGTGGTCTGCCTCTGCCTCTTCTACCAGTTATCTTTCCATTTGTCATTGACATATATCAGTGGCTTTGTGGGGATGATACTTCTCTAGAAGTATTTGACATCTATCCGTGGCTTTGTGGGGATGATACTTCTCTAGAAGTATTTGACATCTATCCGTGGCTTTGTGGGGATGATACTTCTCTAGAAGTCATTGACATCTATCAGTGGCTTTGTGGGGATGATACTTCTCTAGAAGTATTTGACATCTATCAGTGGCTTTGTGGGGATGATACTTCTCTAGAAGTATTTGACATCTATCAGTGGCTTTGTGGGGATGATACTTCTCTAGAAGTCATTGACATCTATCCGTGGCTTTGTGGGGTTAATACTTCTCTAAAAGTAATTGACATCTATCCGTGGCTTTGTGGGGATGATACTTCTCTAGAAGTCCTCTGACATCTATCCGTGGCTTTGTGGGGATGATACCTCTCTAGAAGTCATTGACATCTATCGCTGGCTTTGTGGGGATGATACTTCTCTAGAAGTCCTCTGACATCTATCCGTGGCTTTGTGGGGATGATACTTCTCTAGAAGTCATTGACATCTATCCGTGGCTTTGTGGGGATGATACTTCTCTAAAAGTCATTGACATCTATCCGTGGCTTTGTGGGGATGATACTTCTCTAAAAGTCATTGACATCTATCCGTGGCTTTGTGGGGATGATACTTCTCTAAAAGTCATTGACATCTATCCGTGGCTTTGTGGGGATGATACTTCTCTAGAAGTCATTGATATCTATCCGTGGCTTTGTCTCCGCTGTGTGGGTTCTGGGGCGCTACTGTGAGGGAAAACAAGAACAAACACACTGCCTGCCTAGAAGCATGTCCTATAAGTCGACTAACTGGGAGCTTTCTTTGAAGTCATAGTACATCTGCCTGGGAGGCGAGGAACAAACAGTCTGTAGGAAAGTGAATCAGACATTTGAAAAGGATGTACATGCGACACTTAGTTTCTGGAACAGGACTTGAGTCCAGAAGTGGACCTGAAGGAAGATAGCCTGGCAACAACATGGCAATTATAGAAAATGTCACCCAATTTTATAAAGAAAACAGAAAATACAGCGAAAACAAAAAATGCCACCCAATATTATGACGAAAACAGAAAAACATGCAATATCAAAGGAAATATTTTTAAAAATTCACCAAATATCGCATTGAAGAAGGGTGGGGAGAAAAAAAAATGTTGGTAACCACTAGTAATAACAGTTATAAGCCAAAGAAGATACAGCGATACTGTGCGCATCCTGAGAAGAAACATGCAGAGACTCATCAAGCAGGCACCAAAATGGGAACTACAAGGATTCAGAAAGCGAGGGTGTCCGAAAGAAACCCTAAGATGAACGTTGATGAGAGAGGCCAAGGGTCCTGGAGTGGATATAGTGGATATCATCCATGATATCGAAAAACATTTCACAGCAATGGAAGAAAGTATTGTGCGCTCAGTGTAACATGTAATGGCTTAAAATTATGATGATGATAATGAAGATGATGATGATGGTGAAAAGGTGATGATCATGAAGATGATGATGATGATTATAGTGATGATGATGATGATAATGATAATGATGATAATAAAGATGATGATGATTTGAAAATGATGATAATGATGATGATGATTATTATGATAATGAATATGATGATGATGATAATGAGGATGATAATAAAGAAGATGCTAATGATGACGATGATGATGAGGATGATGATGATGACAAAATATCACAGTAAATATAAGAAAGTACTTACAGCCAAGCATCATAGCAAATATAGAAAATATCTTCTCCATGTTGGTATTGGGTGCCACGTTGCCAAAGCCGATACTGGTGAGAATCGTGAAGGTGAAATAGAGGGCTGTGATGTATTTGGATCTGATGGTTGGCCCAGACATGGAGTCGTTGGCGTAGAAGTACATCTCTGTCTGGTTCGCCAGCCCGTCTAGCCAACTGTCAAAGAATTATATGTATAAAATAAGTCACTAAAGAGCCACCTTATCTATCTAATAGGCTCTAGTTTGCCTAGGGGACTTAACACCCAACATAGTTTTATCCAATATTGTTGAGTTGCGACCCTTGCCGTTAACTCCTTTTTCTAGCTGGTATGCCTATTCGGATATCATAGTTGGCAAAGTCATAGAGTCGTTGGGGTAGAAGTACATCTCTATGTGATTCGCCAGTCAGTCCAGCCAACTGTCAAAGGATTAGAAACACAGTTAAATCTCTCGAGAGCCGCCTTTTCTATCTAATAGCTTCATTTTGCATACGGAACCTAACACCCTACACAGCTTTATTAAAAATTTTGGAGTTACGTCCCTTGGCGTTAACAGACTTTTTTGACTGGTATTTATTTCCGGTGGTCAAACACGTGTCAGAGATTTAGCTGATAAGGCAGATATGTGACTTCTCTTTTTCTCTTTGTCACAGAACTTATGGGGGCGTTCATTCTCTTCATTTCCCGCTCAAACCTAGATACATTTTTAGTTCAGTCCTTCCCGTTTATAGTTCTTAAAACTCGTATATTTCTTGGACAGCTGATGAAATGTAAACCCGGCACGTCCGATTTTCCACGACTGTCCTGTCTTTGTTCACCATGGAGATGTGCCATTCTTATTTTTTTGTCCTCTATCCCATGAGTGAGGCGGCAGACATTTTGTTTACGGGACCAACCCGCTAGACTCTGTCTTTGTTTTAGACATCATCACAAGGGCTGGACCTATATTTTCATAAACAATTCGGCACTTGGTTGGTGATGTGGTCAGCATCAGGCCGGCCGCTTTTACTTCCCAGACTGCACCTGGTACCCACTCAAGACTGGCAGTGAAGGCAGTTTAAAAAAAGAGTCAGGCTAGGACGCGAACCCAGGACCTTCCGAAGCGCAGGCGGGCGTCTAGCCGCCAACGCCAAGGCCACTCCCCTTTTAAAGATAATGCATTGTCGTAAATCCACTTTCGCGAACGTCTACCTCTGCTGTGTTTTCAAGAAACTGTACCCTATGAAAGTGCTGGTAAATTCCAATTATTTTTAAGTCAAAAAAAAAAAAAAAACGCAACCATGTTAAAACTGCTGCTAGCTAGCCAAGCTGTCTCCGGCTATATTTGTGATCTAGTTTATTTGCGCCATTCTCGTGGCTAAAGTTCTGGTTGTTGCGCCGTCTGTGGGCTTAATGCTTCTTTCCACCAAGTCAGACCACTCATTTCCTATCCTGTTGTCAACTGTGTTCTTCTTGCCGTTTCATTTCTGATGTTTCCTCCCTGCTTTCAAGAGCTGGTGAACCTATCAAAACAGACTTGAGATAAATGGCACGAGCAGCAACGACAACTAGCTGCGTACCGATTATAACAACAGGCAATTATCTAACGAAAGTACGAAAGAATACACCTGGTCCTGAAGAAAACATTCCAAGTAAGCAGTAAGATGACGACCTGGAACATCTCGTATGGCGATATGGAGAAGACGACAACACTGGCGAAGACTGTTAAGATCACGATAGCCACTGAGGACTAATGGCGAAACAACAGTGATGACAGTTACACAAACAGAATGAAGAACTGGCACAATGAGACGGACACGATATGGCTGACCAGATAGATAAGGAAGACATTAAATACTAGCACTAAACACTACGCAATGACATAACAACACAATATTTTACTTTAATTATAATCCATATTGACTAAGATGCGGCTAGCTCCCTGGTCAGGGGTTGAACGTTGCTAACTGAAGACGAACGAATGAACATATCTTTCTCTCCTGAACACCATGACGTTTAACGTGGCCAAAACAACCTCAGCTTTTGGAATAAGATGTTGTTTAGGAGCCAGTTCTCTTCGATGTTCAGTGAACGTAAGAAGTCGATGCTTTTCTTCTTCTTCTTGCTCAATGGTTTTCTAATAATTTTCAGTAGCATTTCAGTTCAAAAGCTTTGATTGTTTTTCTTCAAAGATGGAATTATCGTCCTCGACTCACAACCATAAGCTGCCACGGAAAAGATGTAGGATCTCAAAACGTTTACTTGAACTCGCTTGCATGTACTCATACAATTCTCAATTGGTATAAAGCTAGACTGTGATTTTTGCGCCTTTCGACCAGACTCGTTGGATTTTAAAAAGTCCTTTTATAATCACAATCTAAATTCTTTTTATGGAGCAGCAAGCCTTTCTCGTGTTGAAATTATCATTTAAGGTATTGTTCAGATTTCATACATTTTCAGAAGCACTTACCTGATTGGTGCGTGTAACTGAGGGCGTTCCATTGTGGCAATGGCATAAAATATACAAGCCAGCCAGTGACCAATCAGTGTGAAAGTTACCATGAGCAACAGAAGTACAGCAGAACCATACTCAGCAAAAGCTTCGATTCGTCGAATCACACGTAGAAGGCGGAGCAATCGGGCTGTTTTAAGAACTCCAGTGACTGTCATTGTCTGATAATTAAAAAAAAAGACAACACAAAATTATGATATGTTATCAAATGGTAATTTTTCTCATGGAATATTATATTCGCTTGTTGCATCTTAGTTTTAACTGGCCAGTAACAGGGAGAAAGTAGGAAGACAATTGTTTGCCAGTATATGCAGGAAAAATTAATAAATATGTTAGAGACACAATATACAAATTTGCGGGACACCAGGAGCCTCTCTTGGCAGTGGTGAACCTAGCTTTGTTTGGGCACGTAGTGAGACCTGATTTGATTGCAAGGTCTGTACTTCAAGGAACATTTGGGGGCAAAGAAAAACCTGGAATGACAACATCAAGAAAAGGATAGGACTAAGTTATCATTCACTTATTCATCAAGCAGAAGACAGAAAGTTAGCGGGTCTCATGTGCTCGTGCTTCCATCAATACACCTCCATGACCCTAATGGGTCAAGGGTTATGCAGTGTTATATATTCAGGAAACAGCTGATTGGCTGTAAGTATGTTTAACAAAAAAATATGATTGCTTCAAATGTTAACATGGGGGTGTTTAGCTTATATATATATATATATAATCTTCTAGTGTAGTTTTTTAAAGGACAGACATGAATGCCTGTGTTTAATTTCTATCAATAAAAAGATAGCCACTGTATATAGTGTACCCACGTCAGTCCAAGACGCCTGCAGGTCTCATAGATCTTATAGAAATCAGTGAATTGGTAAGCTGTTGACATTCTAGACAATTCCCTTTCCGTTCTTATCTTCACCAGCCAGCAAAGCGTTCCAATTGCACATGTGCCTCATCACCATTAATTTGAATTGGGCAAGTTCAACCGCTACCCAGGGAGCTAACCTATCCTACATAACATTCTGGCTCCTGTTCATGCTCTTATTTCATTGTGCGTTTTCTTAATGTTGTAGCTCCAATGTCTGCCGAGCTAGTTTCACTGTGTGGGAAGTAAAGGTGCCCGGGTGTTGTTTGTAAGAGCTTCATCTTAGTGCTGACTGATTAGTTTAGTGCTCTTCATGTTGCCGGATTATATCATCTCTGCCACTGGTTGCTGTCCGCTGTTTTATTTTCATAATGTATCTCTAAATGTATCTCTAAATGTATCTCTAATTGTGGTCGCTCTGTTGAAGTCCGTCATGTGGTTTGTTCCATCGTGTGATATTTCGGTGGTTTCCACTACACGACTTATATACGAGAAAGACCTCAGTTGTTGTCTTGATCTTGCTCTTGCATTCGCAATGTTTTCTGTATGCTGTCCTAATCCATGACTCCATATGAGATATTCCATGCCGTCATCCAAATGTACCAGGACCAGTTTGATGTCCTGGACCAGTTTGATTTCCTGGACCAGTGTGATGTCCTAGATCAGTGTGATGTCCTGGACCAGTTTGATTTCCTGGACAAGTTTGATTTCCTGGACCAGTTTGATGTCCTAGACTAGTGTGATATCGGTCTTGCCTCTCCTTTGTATGCAGAATTTCTCCCAAATGCCACATTCACTCCCCACTGCATCATTTTTTCCAAACCGTAGTTATCTATTTTTTCACTCCTTCACACTGTTCATTTGCCCCAAAGGGTCTTGATCACACCCAGCTTGTCAAGCAGTAATTCACCACACAGTGGTGCAGCGCCAAGCAGTCTGTCTGCCTGTTTATTCCTCCCACATACCTTAACGCCCAGAAAAAAATCAAAAGTATAAAACAATAAAATGAGAAACAGGACCGATCAATTAAAAGACAGTGTCTGTCTATAGTAGACCCACGTCAGTGAAACCAGAGCAGCTGCATATATGTGTGTGTAAGTAAATACATAATATTGTACCCAGTTATAACAACAGCAGCAGCAGCAACAGCAACAGTAGCAGGACAATTAGCAACAATAGCATTAGATGATAAGCAACAGCTATAGCTCTAAGGATCGTGTTAGTATTATGATTGTTAATATTCTGCACGCTAAGTACGAGGTTTGTTCTAAAAATCAACATCCGATTAGCTGATTGAAGTAAACCGCTTGCCATTGCAACACCGTTCATTGTTGGCATCATTCAGTAGTCTTTTAGCTCACTGCACATCGACATACAGTCGCATTCGCTTAGTGGTTCACGAATCGCGAACGAATGAACATAAGCCTTGTTACTGCCTTTTGCACCAGCTGTAAACTTCGTGGTATGATTGCGTTTTTTTTTAAGCAGGTCAACGTAACGTAGAGACTGTATTGTGCTTACGGTGATAACGTTATAAGTAACATTTCTGTGAAAGATTATTGAAGAAAATTCAGAAATGGGCGTAAAGATGTGCATGATGATGATGGACAAGGATGATATTCATATGTGACAGATGAGCTATCCAAAAAGTGCTCTTTCGCCGTTTCTAATCTTTCTACACATTTTTTTTTACAAATCTGTAGGACTTACTGAAGGATTCAAGCAATAAACGGTGTCGCGAATGCAAACGATTTATTTTTACCAGCCAATTGGAGGTTTGATTTTGGAGTAGCCTTCATATTTCATTTATCTTATGAAACATGCAACCATAATGGCAAAGTAGTTAATGCATGACTCCAGGAGGATAGATATCCCCGAACACATATACCCAACACTTTACAGGATGAGAACCACTGGGTAAAACGTTGCTTAAGTGCGCGAAAGCCACCATTATTTTACGATGGACATTTTTACGCCCTAGTTGGGTCATAGTCAATGTTGAATTAAGAATCGACATCACAGCACACGAGACACTCCTATTAGCCTAACTGCTCGCAGCGACATTCTCCTCAGACTGTAATGACAGATTTGTGCTTCTATACTGTTCGAATCCCTCTCAAAGGCCCCTCATAACATCTAGCTTGTCATACATCAGTTCACCACCAAGTGGCGCAAAACCGCCCTATCTATCTGCATGCTCGTTCACCAACACATTAGGATGACCTGGAGGAAATATCCAATGGACGCGAACTACTTGGGACCTCTGTAGCGATTCTTTCCACATTGCACGGAGCCGGTCTGTCTTCAACTTTCGCAACATACTCTGCGAGTCAGTCACAATTATGACATGTGTGTGAAGCTCATTCTCAAGTCAGTTGAAAGCAGCAGTGACTGCCTCCACCTCCATTCTCAAACTAGAGGTTGCATTGCTTCAAAGGTCACGAGTAGTTACCGTCCTTTTGATATTTTCTCCAGGATTTGCCAGTATGTTGGAAGATAAGCTTGCAGACAAACTGGCTGGTCATATTTAGAAAGTCAACTTTTCACGTTATATAGTTCTGATAATGCCTCTCTTAAACTTTTGCTATTCGTATGACAAAAATTTTCTTACTTATGTGAGAGGTCCCGGCTTCAAATCTAGAAGGAGAACACGTGAATTTCTTCTTGTCAGGTGGTGTACTTAACTCGAGTGGTGAAATAAAAGAGAATACCCAAGACACCACGTGACAAAGGGTTACGAGTTGAATCCCACGGCTTACAGTTTCAAAGGCTAATACAAACAATATTCTTAATTGTATAGAAAGAAAGGAGACGATGTAGGGGCGCTGTGGTTTAAAGGTTCGTGAATGCCTTTAACAGTTTCGTGATTGTCGAGTAGTGTTGATAGACTGACAGATCGACAGCCAGCCAGCCCACCCGCTGGCCCGCCCGCCCACCCGCCCGCCATCCCGACCGACCGACCGACCGACCGCCCGCCCGCCCGCCCGCCCGACCGCCCGACCGACCGACCGACCGAGACCGACCGACCGACCGACCGACCGAGGACCGACCGACCCGACCGACCGACCGACCACCGACCGACCGACCGACCGACGACCGACCGACCGACCGACCGACCGACCGACCGACCGACCGACCGACCGACCGACCGACCGACCGACCGACCGACACGACCGACCGACCGTGGCCCACCGACCGACCGACCGACCGACCGAACGCGCCTCCGACCGACCGACCGACCGACCGACCGACCGACCGACCGACCGACCTGACCGACCCGACCACCCGACCGACCGACAGATAGACCGACCGACCGACCGATAGATAGATAATACCGAGATAGACCGACCGACCGATAGACCCGACCGATAGATAGATAGAAGATAGATAGATAGATAGATAGATAGATAGAGATAGATAGATAGATAGATAGATAGATAGATAGATAGATAGATAGATAGATAGATAGATTAGATAGATAGATTAGATAGATAGATAGATAGATTAGATAGATAGATAGATAGATAGATAGATAGATAGATAATTAGATAGATAGATCAGATAGATAGATAGATAGACAGATAGATAGATAGATAGATAGATAGATAGATAGATAGATATAGATAGATAGATAGATAGATAGATAGATAGATAGATAGATAGATAGATAGATAGATAGATAGATAGATAGCTAGATAGATAGATAGAATAGCTTAGATAGATAGATAGATAGATAGACAGATAGATAGTAGATAGATAGATAGTATAGATAGATAGATAGATAGATAGATAGATAGATAGATAGATAGATAGATAGATAGATGAGATAGATATAGATAGATAGATAGATAGATAGATAGATAGATAGATAGATAGATAGATAGATAGATAGATAGATAGATAGATAGATAGATAGATAGATAGATAGATAGATAGATAGATAGATAGATAGATAGATAGATAGATAGATAGATAGATAGATAGATAGATAGATAGATAGATAGATTAGATAGATAGATAATCAGACAGGTATACAAATATATATTACATATGTAGAGCTAGGAAAGAAAAGACATATTTACACAAATAATGGAAAACACAAACGAAAGAAAACAACATGTTCCAACGTAGCTAAATTAGGAAACACTCTTCGCTGAAAGAAAAACATTAGACACGAGACCCGTCCTCGGAAGTCATGGGGGTCCATCAGCTTGTCCTATTTTGTTTTCCGTTTGACTGATTCGTGAGCCGGCAACATTTCGCGTCGTATTAGCGAGGCAATCTGTGAGCAGGCCG